CAAAGGAAACACTTTACTTTGGGTTCCATACCAGAGAAACACTCCTGGGTCCATTCGCTCCAAAAGCCCTGGTCAGCACAAAAAATGTTTGTTCTGCCCCTGACACGAACACAGGAAATGTGGCTTTGATTTGCTCGGGGAATTGTGCAAGCAGTCTCCATTTGGGTCAGCACAGGCTGAGAAACAAAGCACAGAGAACAAATGTCAAGGAATTACGTGCCGCCACCAGTAGCTCTCTGCCATGACTTGATGTTCCTGAACATACTGTCCAGGCTCTGCAAATCCTTGGATTATGTTTTGGCAGTTTTAAATGATTTCATAATGGTTTTGGACCAGCTGATGCCAATAAGATGATAATGAAGATAAATCTGTTGAAAACTCTTCCTGGGGATGCCATCATATATGTTGCCATTCATGCCTGTTAATTTAGGGAATCTTTCTCTTAATTACCCAAGAAAACTCATATGTAGAATTTGGCAATTAAAGAAAAAATGTCCCTCAGTTGTCCCCTATGATTAATTAGCCCTTTTCATTTTTGCTGTCCAGACTGCACCTGGATAACGCACAAAAAAAACCCGCCACGCATAAAAGAGACGTTCTGTCCCAGGTCGACTCTTCTGAGAGATTAAAATTTACAGTTTTATTGGACCAAGCTGTGCCATGACATTCAGGGGAACAAACCGCAACAGCCTTTAAATTTCCTTGATGACAGCTTTCTGAGGTAACAGGCAAGGAGATCTGAGGAAGTGCTCCCTGGGAGACTCCTGCTGGGATCTCTTGCCACTCAAGCAAACGCTGCAGCTGGAGGTCAGGGGGGGTTAAGTGGGAACATGTGCAGCGGAGCAGCCGGTCGGGGCGTTCCAGCCGGCACCTCCTCACGGTCCGTGCTGTCCATCAGCAGGGCTCCCCCACCCCTGCCCCTCCCCGTGGCACCACTGTGTGTTGTCCCTACCACCCAGGCAGCCTTGGCCTCCCCCAGATCTTCTGCCACCTCGACCTCGTACTCCAGGCACTGTGGCGGGGTTTGGCCGCCCGGCGGCCTCCACGCCACGTGGAGCTCCTCGGCCGCAGACAGGGACACCACCAGCTGCCTTGGTGGGGAGGGCTTTGCTGGAAGGGGATGAAAAGAGAGAGAATGTCAAGAGGTGGTATACTCAGACAGCTCCCGGCGGAAAGGCTTCAGTTAATCACCGCCAGCCTCCATCCCTTTTCCACGCCGATGGGATTTCTGAGCTGCCTTTGCTCTCAGCCACGATGCTGGAGGAGCAGGATGTCACAGAGGCTGGAGGCTGTGTTATTTATTTTAAACTGGCACACAGGCTGGACGGGGTCCTTGCTCTGGGCTGCAGCGCAGGGGTTTGGAAACACTGGGGTGTGAGGACTGTGCTTGGCACGTCCCCCTCACGCTGCAGCCAGCCAGCCCTCCCTTGGCCTTGGCCCCTGCAGTGAGACACCACAGCAGTGTCAGCCTGACACTCTCTGAATCCCAGGGAAGACTGGTTTATGTCAGATGCCCAAAGCCACGCATGAAGCACATGGCAGGACTAATTGATTTCAGAAAGCCTGTTCCTTAGCCCATGGCTTAGCTGGAGGACTAGCTCTTTATCTCTCTGGCATGTGGGTGATTGCATCAGCCCATAACAAGCACCAAGTACATGTAATGCTTGCACATCATGCTGTGCTTTGCTTCCTTTCCCTGCTGCCTGTGGGTTTGAGATCCACCTTTGCTCTGACAGACCCCATCACACCTTGCACTCAGTTCTTCCCAGTCCTTAGCTTGGTTTGAACAGCAACACCTAAAGAGCTCTCCTGTTCTTGCAAAGGAGCAGAGCAGTGGTTTCAATTCCATCAGGATTAAACAAAGGTATTTCTTTGGCAGTGCTGCTAGAGCTGAAAACCCCCATAGCTGCTCTGCCATCTGCCCAGCAGGCCAGTTATGTCCCCAGTTGTCCAGCACTTGAAAGGACCCTCTGACCCTCCAGGGTGTGTGCTGAGTGGTGTTGCTCACCTGCAAACACTCCTGGAAACCGAAGCCCTGCGTGGCACGTGCCACAGCCCCTTCTCTGCGGGCAAATCCACCCAGACACATTACAACCACCTGTCTAAATCTGTTTGAGCCCCCTCATGCAAGATGTGAGCCTCGGGTGAGTGGTGGCCATGTGGGTCCTGCAGAGCCCTGCTGCTTTCCTTACCCAGGTTGTGAAGGCGAAGGGTGGTGTACAGAGGCCGTAGCAGGGTGGCTGCTGCTGAGCCATTGACACAAACGTTGAGATCCTGGTATTCTGCCTGGCTCAGGTTTCGCAGCGTGCAGCCCACGTTCAGGCCGTGATCCTGGATGTAGTGATCGCACTGTGCTGCCTGGCCCAGCCCCTCGTACCTGGCGGTGTATAGGAAAACAGAAAGTAACCAAAACAAGGTCTTTTTTTTTTATTATTATTTCCTTTTTTTTTTTTTAAGATTGGACTTAAGACTCAAGCACTGCCCTTTGCAGCCTGTCTAAAGCACAGTGTCGTGCATCGGTCACCTGGACTCCTGCTATGGCAAAAGTATGGGGAGGAGAAAAAAACAAATTAACATGCACAGATGGCTTCCCAGGCTGGTTTGTAGGGTGTGTCCATCTCTCCCCTCTCCCACTGCTGGAGACTTTACGAGGTGCCACAGCGTGACTGGAGCTGGGGATGGATTTGGCCCCTACTCATGGAGACAGCCATCCTCCTGTAGGGCCTTTTCTGCACCATCAGCCACTGACTCTGGTCAGAAGGGTCCCCTGCCAAGCCAAAATGCACTAGTACTATAAAAATTAGCTCATAGGAATCAAGGGGGTGCCATGGTTCCCACCCAGTCTTGTTATACAATGGGACCCAGGTCCAGATGTCTGGTTTTGTTACTGGCGATTAAATAAAGGTTGGGGG